GTATATTCTGGGTTCTTTGGTCAGTAGTGTGACTCTCTGTCCCCTGTTCAGTATATTCTGGGTTCTTTGGTCAGTAGTGTGACTCTCTGTCCCCTGTTCAGTATATTCTGGGTTCTTTGGTCAGTAGTGTGACTTTCTGTCCCCTGTTCAGTATATTCTGGGTTCTTTGGTCAGTAGTGAGACTTTCTGTCCCCTGNTGACTCAGAGTAACAATACTAACCGAGTGACTCAGAGTAACGATACTAACCGAGTGACTCAGAGTAACAATACTAACCGAGTGACTCAGAGTAACCATGCTAACCGAGTGACTCAGAGTAACAATACTTACCGAGTGACTCAGAGTAACAATGCTAACCGAGTGACTCAGAGTCACACTTTGAGTAATATGGTTTTACTCTTTGTTCCTTGTTCAGTTTATTCTAGGTCCCTTGGTCAGTAATGTGACTCTCTGTCCCCTGTTCAGTATAGCGTTATCCTGGTTCCCTTGGTCAGTAATGTCAACTCTCTGTCCCTGTACCCCAAGCCCCTAGCCAGTTGTGTTACTCTTTAGGCCTATATAAGGACACGATTGACGACATTCATTGTTCCAATAAACCATAAACTTAATTAAACTAGCGACAGTGTGATATCATGCTAGGAAATCAAATTATCGCAAGGTCACGTGATGGTGCTATAAATCTAACCCGGGATATGTCAATCGACGCCTTGTATCGCGACATGATCGAGGGAACTGGTCAAGTATTCATAAAGAACTTCATCTCCCTTATCATCGTCACCCATCTACGGACCCCAAGATATCGAGGAAACAAAAATAGCGAAAAGTCAATATCCTGTCCATTTCGGAAAGGAGATAAGAAAACAGCACTCTGTCGAGTAAAACAACAACCGTGATATTCTTCGCGACATCGAGGTCCGTCACTTTGACGCGATTTAATGGAATTATCCCGTGTGATCTCTTCACATGATTTATGTGATTTTTGGTATTTATTCCGATACCAGAGCCCGTTATACTTTCGCACGTGAACGCGTTTTATGATGTTAATTGCTGTTCCGTTTCAATCTAACCCACCAATAAATGAAGATGGTCGCTAAAGCGGCACTTATTTCAACACGTTCCATAGATTGGTCATTATAATTTCTATGACGACCGTCCGTTTTGCCAGGATTCTATGATACGCTATATTCCCCTAGCGGGGGACCAGTGGACAATTTGTCTGCTCATTATGTTTTATGGCCATTCATCAACTGCACGTGCGACTCATCACATTAACGACACGCGCCAAACATCAGCAATCCATTTTTGTAGGGATTCATGATATAATATGACACCCAGTGACCAAAAGAATGGACATACGTAGATTTCCAAATTAGTTGACCACACGTGTCCGATCCCTTTCCGGTACTTGAACTCCCTAAACCGGAACATGCGGATTACATAGAAAACCACCAGTCAAGTCCATTTGACTGCTCACCAAGCTTTGTCTTGCCCGTATTGTCAAGAAAGCCCCCGACTCGAGCCTGGCGTGAGCGCTCGGGACCTGTGACACTGGAGTGTTCAGCGAACACGTTACTTCACCGGCATCTTACGTAAATAGTAGCAGTTCTCTTCACCACTATACGGGTCAGCATCGATTGCTATGTCGGCGCGACCTTCGCTTAGCTCGGAATTAAGGCTCCAGAAGTTTGCCAAAATCTTCGACAATAGAGTCGTTTATCTTATCTTCTCCGCTGCTTGGAACCCAGTTCTAATGGTATTTCATAACCATTTTAACTGCCAGGGACAGAGACTTAAACAATTATAGGGGATACTGAGGTAGACAAAGGTACATACATGCCACAATTACAATAACATGCACACGTGTTCTTTCTTTGATGTATTTGACTAATTAATTAAGATCTTTGAATAAAAACTGTTGGCTTGTCGTTACTTCTGTATCATGCGGCATATGGGTGGTGACTTTCACTGGCACCAATCACAACACGCGTAAAGAACGTGCATTGCAGGCTAGATGACTGATTGTACATGTATATATGCTATATGCACGTGCCGAACAGGTATGTACTACACGCAAGACTTTGGCGACCCGAGCACGACCTGTTGGAGAGTGCGGGGTGGTGCGCGGTCGTAAAGGTCGTTGGCTGTCATTGATCACGGCCAATGGATAGGTTACTCAAATGTCTCGTGCACTTTAAATTTCCCCAAAAGTAACATAATACCGCAGAAAACATACGAAGTAATGATCTACGCTTGACGCATGCTAGTTGATGCTGTATAGGGAGATGAACTAATAGGTACATGTCGCGCGTGATAGACACTAAACCGGGTCCGTTCTTATCGGCGAAGTTTGGTGTCACAATAGCTATATCTACGATAGCGTATCAGCATGGCGAACAAAAATGTACAAATTGTCTTCACTTAGATGTAGGTACAATCTGATAGGCATGTTTAATTACTCCCATATCTTAAATTCACTGTATTGTGTAATTGTCTTAACAAGTAAAATCAATAATATCCAGACGCAATGTTCGTCTGAAAATGGTTTCAATGCAGGAAATTAACACGCGGGGATAAAGCATGAAATTGACACCCTTACAGATAAAGTACAGCCCAGACTGAAACTGTTCCGGTCGAATCAACACCGCGACCCTCGCTCCCATCGTCCTTAATCTCTACAATCAAAAAACACAAAACAAAGCAATAAAGATGTGCTGCATGTGTCCCCGACTGGTAAAGTGGACAGGAGGGGTACACTTCCTTTGTTCTCCGGTGACAAAAGACTTTAAGATTACAAACGAAATACAAATACATGTAAACCGGAAACATGCCAAAAATTGCAGCATATGGCGGTCGATGGTATCGTCTGCTTCCATACTGCACGTCATTACAGCTGATGCTGAAGGTCCCCCCACACTTTCTCCGCAATGCTCGCTGTCATGGTACGTCGGGGGTTTAAAAATTAGGCTCACTATTGCCTAGGTATGCTGGTTATGTCTGAAAGCAGGCCGTCACCGAGAATAACCTGTACAGTATCATTTTTTTACGTTCTCTCACCTGATGGCGCTCACGAGCAGCGTTTAATTTCGAGAACACGCAAAAGTGACTACATCTGACAATCCCCCTCTACTGTGTGGAGGCATTCGGCAAGTGTTTTGGAACCGACACCCCAGACACCTGTTGGGTCTAACTCGTTACGCCGTTACTGTTGCATGCTGGTACGACGGAGCTGAAAGGGAGGCAATATAATACCGCATGACATGCAACGTCGTCAGGTCTTTCTGGTTCGCGTCAGATTCCTAACAAAAATGCCGTGCGTTAAATGGTTTGCATATTGAAACAGTGCTAGGCCAAAAAGGGTAGGATGGGCATTAAACGGGGTTAAAAGCTTAGCGAGAAGGGGTGGGATATACCCGAGTTGTATATATAATGTGGTGCTGTCATGCTCTAGCGTGTCCATGTCTATTATACCTTTTCTGGGTGGTGTATGTATACGACTGACTGACGGACACCAGATTATATGTCCAGGTACGGTATACCATCATAACTCGTACTAGAAGATTACACTATGTGCCGTATTTTAACTTTTTCATGTATTTGTGTTTTTGTTGAGTGACAAGACACGTTGTGCATGAAACCGGTTAACACGAACAGTACTGTAGCGTAATGTGGCACACGTTACCCAGTGGTCATCATCACAGGGACCTGATAACTTGTTACAGCTATATTTGGACCTAAACTAAGTGGGTTTTGAACGTGATTTTACACGTTTTAGGGGTTAAGATCAATTTGACACCCAAAATGATAGTTAACCCCGAAAATGTGTAAAACTTACTCTGAAGAGCTCGGTCTAGGGCCAAAGATAGCTGTGACATATTATCAGGTCCCTGCGGTCATCATCTGTTTGCGTGTGCGATCGCGAAATGATGTGTTGCCCGTTACAGAACACGCTTGTATTTTCCCGACCTTTCTGTATTTGTCTTCGTGATTAATATATATATATATATATATATATATATATATAATATAACAATTAAATCGCCAGTCGTGATTGTCCTAATGAACTAGTTCCGGATGTTACTCTGTGTGTTGTGAAGTTATTTTCCGTTGTTTTTCTCCATTAGGTCCGTGTATAGTGTTTCCGTTTAGGAGAAGTCACTCCACTCGGTTAAAAGCCTTGATGTATGACAACACGGGGCCCGACAGTCACCAAGCTGGACCTAAAATGGGCGTAGATGCACCCGAATGCAAGTGGTCAAAGCATGTAATTTACGCGGGCGTGTAAATACTCGGCTTTCCCGTTGTGAGAGAGCGGTACATAGACGATAAATTGGACCGGTTTGTGATACAAACAGATCGCAAAGGGTCTCCAGCGTAATTAACATGACATTGGAAATTGTCAATGTCATTGGAAGGGAAAGTAGGATTTTAACATTGAATATCATTGAAAAAGACGGGCGGTAAATATACTCTGATAATTGAGCGCACACCTGCAATAGTTCACGGCGAATGTGACATTGCAAATCTGTGGCGTATGGTAGCACTGATCGCCATTCATGAACAATCTGAACACACACATTGCGATTTTAAAACGCAAACAACCTCCACTCCGATTTCAATTCAAGTTAACTTTTCAATGCTCTCAATAGATATAAAACCCTATTGTATAAATCTTATGTCTGCAACAATATAATCCTTTCTCAGCTAAAATACACCGCTTGCATGCAATCTTATCCGTCTTTATGAAAATAACTTTCAAGATTTTTTTCTTTCAAAAAGTACCTTCATTTATATTGAACTACATATTAAATGTCGCGTTGTTCTACATTTCAGAAGAAAATATCTGATTTCTGAGAGTTATAATCTACATCTTGACAACTTTGTATGTATATGTCAGAGTGCGGACGGCCCTGGCACATTGAAGTTTTTGTTGAAAGTTAAGATGGTATCTGTACGACTATACGATTACTACAGGGCTATTGTTATATTCTCAGTGTGGGTAATTACCTGTATATTACAGATTGGGTTTAACTGTTCTTATATATACTTACTCCATGGTGTAGTACAAGACTTATCACGTCTATAACACTGTAGCTTGTTTTGTCCTACTCTTTTTCTGTCAGAAGAAAACTAAAGAATATGTACTAATTTAAGCTATTTTACCTCAGTTGGCCGATAGAAAAGTCGTGTTACGACGCAGGGAACACTGTTATGGTATACACATGTATATTGAAAAGGGTCATCCGGTCACCCGCATCAATCAAACCATGTCATTCCTGGCCACCATTTTCTAAAGTACGTCGTCGTATGGTGACGTCGCTGCTCACCAATGGCGCCATCTATATGTATCGTAGCAGGTCAAATGGCGTTCATACCGATTAAACCGTGGAACACTAAATATGACAATTCGCCTTACTTACACATTCATAAATATTTCTTATAAT